TATGCACAGATCCCACAAACGTCATAAGACATATTATCWAGCAAATCCACAGAGGTGCTATAAAATGTTTTTTACACGTTCCTCCTCTGATGCCGATGTAGTTTGACGATGCGAGTGAGAATAAGTCCCATGGAAATCTCCCCAACAGCATTCCCACGTACGATCTGGGTTTCCCCATGAGAAGATGCAGAAAAAACAAACAAGCGGAGCCTCTTGTGTCTGTAAAGCAGTCGGCCAGGATCATGAGCGCTTCCAGACAAACACGAGCAAACAGCCCAGAGCAACTAAACACTGCCTCATTAAAACAAGAAACCTTTTTTTTTTTTTCTTCTTCTGTCTTCAGTTTCAGGTCTTAATCCTTCAAGGTCGTGAATTATCTAAGAACAAAACGAGGCTTAATRATGACAGTTCACACCGCTCGACATTTTAAAAAAAAAAGTGCTCGCAAAGAGAAACAGAACTGGCACAGACCGAGCTGCTGAAATACGAGTGTGCTTCTGCAAGCTCCAACATGATCTGTAGAGAACAGCTCTGGGAAAAATCAAACTGTTGCTGCTATTTTCTTGGTAAATTATGGATTTTTTAATGCCTGGTCTGTGCACATAATGTGTGCATCAGCTATGAGACGTCACACTGTTGCTGTTTTGTCTTGTTTAGAAGGACAAGGTTGTAGCACGTATTTGATAGTAATCATCTGACACCAAAGGCGAAGGTGATACAGTTTGTGTGTGTGTGTACATGTGCATGTCTTTATGTTGTTGTGAAGACTTAATTTGACATTAGACGACCATTGTGTGGACATTTTCTCTGGTCCACACAAGGGAAAGACTTAATTTTTGGGTTAGGTTTAGGGTAAGGGATCAGGGTTAGGCTGTAAAAAATTAATGKAAGTCAATGCAAGTCGACACAAAGATAATAAAACCCAGTGTGTGTGCCTGTCTGTAGCATATATAAAACATTTCATGAATCTGTGGAAGGAGTTTAGTGAAACTCTCAGTAAAGCAGTGGCGGATCTAGGATTTTTCAGTGCAAGGGGCCATCAAGGGGCTGCAATATTCATAGAGGGGCCAAGTATTTGTTCAACATCCTTGCACACAAATATCAGTCACACATGTTCAAACGCTAAAGGCTTGCACAGTAAATTCTCCTTATCAATTTTACACGATTTTTTACTGTACATAAATAAAATACTCTCAAATACAAATGTGAGAAAATCTAGCCATTGTTGTCAGTAAAAAAAAATTTTTTTTGCAGGATTGTTCAAATTGAAAAAGACTCCTGTGAGCTTGCTTCATGTTGGACTTTCCCAGCTGACTCATTAGTGCCACTAGTGTTTGGAAGTGGAACTGCAGCCACCATCATTGTTCTTARGCAAGGACAGATGAGTGAAAGGACAGGGGCACTTCAGGGGGCCAATCAGATTTTAGATGGGGCCCCTKTGGCCCCGCCCGCAGAACCGCCCCTGCAGTAAAGAAGCAACTTTAAATCAATCCAATTCAAAACGGCCAGARCAGGTAATTAGCAGGACCAATGGCAGTTTTCTGGCCGATCACCAATCTTTAAAAAGTCTGACCTGCCAATTCTGATTTTGGCCGATATTGATTTTTTTTAAATAACACTGGTGGGTCTTATAAGGTCACAATACACCTTCAATGTTCCAATCTTATTTCATAGAAAAACATTGAACAATAAATACCCTTGAAACAATACAAACTTGTTTTAACTGGACATTAGATTGTGCTCACTGCAGAGCAAAAGGGGACAGTGAATGATTTTCAGACATTTGTGGAGGTAGATGAGAAGCCGATCTTTTCCACCGATCTTATCTAAGTATCGACCGATCTCATATCGCTCAAAATTAAGGAAATCGGTGCTAATAAAAATGGCCAATTTATCGGTGTACCTCTAGTAATTAGCCTTAGCCAACAAAAAAATATGACTTTTTACAGATATTGAGCTAAATTTGGTGGTAATAGCTGCGAGTCATTCTCAACAAATACCTTAAACATCACACAAAATGCCATTTTTGAAAGTTTGACCAAAACAAATAGAAAACCATCATTTCTCGCAAAAAAAAGAAGAAAGAAATTAAAAGCTCCATGTCCACTTTCTACCATTATCAGTAGTCGGGTCACGGAGGCAACAGGTCCAGGAAAGCCATACCTCCCTCTCCCCAGAGACACTTCCCAACACATCCTGGAGGACACGAGGCATTCCCAGGCAACTTCCTGGACCTTCCCCGGACCTCCTACCAGTGGGACGTGTCTGGAACACCTCTAAAGGGAGGCGTCCAGGAGGCATCCTAATCWGATGAACCACCTCAACTGACTCCTTTTGAAGCTCATTTTGGTTGTTTGTGTCCAGGATCTCCTTCTTTTGGTCATGATCTATGTCTCATGACCACAGGTGAGGGCTGGAATATAAAAAGACCAGTAAATCTAAAGCTTTCAGCTCAGCTCTTTCTTCATGAGGACTGACCGGAGCAACGGCCCCAATCTGTCAACACCCCCCCACGCTGACGAGGCATTCCACCCTTTTTTTTAGAGGGAGTCACATCACATTTGACTGTGAACTGCCTCAGTGCAAGCTGAAGGTCTTGGCCTGAAGACACCAAGAGAACCACATCATCTGCATACAGCAGAAAYRAGACCCTGTGAAAGCAGACACCCTTCGCTCAAAGACTGTTCACAACCAGGATTGAATAGGATACAATTAAATCCTGCAGTTTWTATACACAGAAATGTAACCTTGGCTCCTCTGCAGCCCTCGACCCTGGTTAGTCTTTAAAAGAAAAGTAAACTTCTTTCTCTAGTTAGCCTGAAGACCAGGTAAGTAAGCAAAGGTTTCACGGAACAAGAGAAAGTGGGATTTTTTTAAAACAGCAAACAAAGTGATCTGCAGGTCAGAAAAGGTAGGAAATCAGTGTTCAAACATCCTTTCGGTGAACAAACACACATGCCTGGGAGTCAAGGAACATGATATTTAAACTGGTTCCCACTTTATTCCCACTCTTCTTTTAACCCTTTTGCATCCAACTCAAACAGCGACCTGTTGATATAACATCATGTCAACTTGAGACCTACAAAAATGGGCTAAAATTATTTTTACATTTTTAACATTACATTTACATCATCTACTTCCCTTGATTAAACATTCAGGTGTGTGTGTTAACGACGTCATGTGAGAAAAGACATCAGAAGAATCTAAAAACTTTAAAATGTTTGCTTTTCATAAATCTTACGAGGTTAAAAGGTCACATAAATCTAAAGTCATTTATTCTACAATGAGAACAATTATTCACGAGTGAATAAGTCAAGAGTGGCAGCAGCAGGAAGTTCACCCCAAGGTCGGTCCCTGGAGGAAAACAAAAGAGGCTCCATTTCAGACTCTACAGGCCTCAATTACCTTGTCACACTTTAGAGCACGAACACCTCAGTGCCAGCTGACAAACACGGTGGAGGAGTGCTGATGATCTGAGCTGGTTTTGCAGTGAGTCTATTCTTTAAATTAACGGCAATCCTGACCAGTCGCAACGYTAGACATTATTTGACGAATATTAATTTCAACTGTAAAACAAAGACTGTAAAAATAGAGTAGGCTGTTTAGTTTTTATAAAATAAAAAATATCCATATTGTCCGCACAGATGGTGCCATGTTATTTACGCTGCAAAGCATAACAAGTAAAAGACGATGTTGACCAAGTGCTCCGGTGCGAGGATGTGAGCGAGCTCTATCCAGCTTGAAAGTTAATTTTGGACAATATCTGATGATCAGCCATTTGAAATGAAACCAGAGCGTTGACAGAGAGGAGACAAGAGAGCTATTTAATGGAAGAATATCAGCTTGGCTTATTAGCTTGCATGTTAGCGCCCGAGCTAATATGTATATTTGTATATAAATACATATGGCAATATAGAGTTAACCATTTGTGAACTAATGCCACATGTTTTTTTGTAATCATGTTGTGTTGGTTTCAGAGCGAATATTATTAACTCAGAAGCTAAGGCTATATCACCATTCACGTATATTTATATAAATATGTATTAGCTTGGGGGCTAACGTGAAAGCTAACAGGCTAAGCTAATGTTCTTTCATAAAGCAGCTCTGTTCCATCCACATTTTCAGATGCAGGCAGAGTYATTTCTATATTCTCCACTCTGTCAACGCACTTTGGTTTAATTTAAAAGGTCTAAACATCAGATATTATTAATAATTAACCTTTAAGTTGTACAAAGCTTGCAGCCTTGCACCGGAGGAGCTAATAAAAGTTATCATTACCCAGTATGCTTCACTGTTTGTGTGACAATATATATTTTTTAATTTATAAAAGCTAGAAACTATAGAAACGCTCCGGGTACTCCGGTTTCCCCCACACCCCAAAAACATGTACAATAGGTTGCCTTCAGGCCCAGGCCTCCTTTGAAAAAGAGAGCGGCGATCTCAAAAGGGACTTGCCTGGTTAAATAACGGCACATAAAATATAAAGAAAATTAATTTACAGTTTAAGTAAATTTTTATCAAATGATGTGTAATGGTACCACTAGCTGTGTTCCCTTTAAATTATTCAGGAGTTGAAAGTGAGGCTGTCTGTTCGACAGCTTGTCCCAAACGTTACAAATGCTAAAAAAAAAAAAAAGAGAATAAAAATGTATCTGAGACCCTGATCTGTGCAGAAACAAACGTCTGTAAACCTCAATGAGCTGTAAAGTGATTGATGTGTGAGACTGATGAAGTGATAGAGAGGACGATTACATCAAGTTATTACTGCTGTAAGTGGTTCTACAAGTTATTTAATAATGGGGCGTGCCTAATATTCCACACATTGCTTTTTTGAGTTTTTTATTTTGAGGTAAACAAATAATGAGTGTAATATGTCATCTGCTGATGTTTAATCATAACATCTTTAACCACAGACAGGTAGGTTTACGCTCCCTGTAAATGGAACAGCATTGGACCCTGGGAAAAAGACAGAAACTGAGACCAAGAGTCAGACGTCTTACCATGACTGTTTCCCTGAGAATGAGCCTGCCTCAGTGACTTCTGTCCTCCCCTGTGTCCACCCAGATGTCCTGCCCGGTGTCCGTCCAAGTTCAGGCCCAGGCCGGGGCTCTGCCCGTTGCTGCCCAGACTCTTCCTTTTCTTTTTCCTGAACCAGCCGAAGGCCCGGCCGAAGGGGCGAGTGCGCTTCTTCCGGCCCCTTTTGCTGTGTTTCTCCTGGGCGAAGATGTTGATCACGTCCTGGGGCAGCAGCTCCCCGAAACCCAGGGAGTCACGGTTCGACATGGCACCGCACACTGGAGCTACTCCCTGAAAAAAAAATTAAAAAAATCATCAAAACTGGGATAATACTGTAATTAGAAAAATACCTTATTTTTTTTACCTAAAAGCACAATATTTTCATAATAGTTGATATTCCAGATAAAATGATCAGTTCTTATCAGTGCTAAAGGAGTCGTCTGATTCATWTAAACCTCCAAAACGTGCAACAAATAAACGTGCACCCCGTTCTCTGTGGGGCGCTCTGCTTTCAGACGGCTCCGTCCTTGTTGTAAACCAAACTTCTGGAGTTCTGTTAAGATCAAACTGGCACCGCTCCCTTCATTCCAGAACGAGGAGTCATGATTCACAAAGCCGCACCCGTAAGCTCACGCACGTCGACTCGGCCACAACAGCACTCCAGGAGGAGGTAAAAACTTTTTTTTTTTAAAGGGAGTAAATTAAACGGCACACAGCTGCGTGTATTAAAGCATTCTTTCTAAACAGAAAGCATTCATTCATCAGTGTTTTATTAACCCATCATCCTTACATTTCTCCTCACTCCTGTATGATCTCATCCACCTCCCCTTTTTGCTCCTTCCTTCCTCCTCTTCGCCTTGTTTTCTACTTTGAGGCGGATTTCCCAGCCTTGTTCCCGAGTGTKTTACACCGAGCTTCTGACTTTTACTGGATACTTATCATCACAACAAATAGGTTTGAAGATGACAGAAAACAGACCTGACAGCAGGATTTGTGTCACAATGAAATAATTATGAATCTTTATTAAAAAAAAAGTTTGAGGCCTCCTCTGTTCTGCTGATCAGTTATTAAGAAGGAGCATGTAGGAGAACTTTGCTGCCTCATGGAAGCAAACCACAGAAACATGCAGAACGTCAAGTTCTCTGAGCTTTACAAACATGCCTTTAGCAAAAACGACAAAAAAAAGTAATAATAATTAATCCATCGTTCACATCATTTTATGACCAAACCAGGGAAGCACCTATCTGGAAAAAAAACAGGAAACAATTTCTTCTAAATCTATGCAAAGTTTGCACAATTTCATTTTGACTAACCCCAATATGAGTCATTGCTTCAAATGACACATATTAACCCCTAAAATTAAAGTAGGTTTGGTAGTGAAACTAATAATTTGATTAAACAATCAGTTTTGTTTCGTAAAAAAAGCATTGCATTTAAAGAACTGTGTTTTGTCTTATTGTACAATAATACATATAAAACATTTGCAAAACTAAAGAAAAGTGTAAATTTAAATACTCTTTACTTTAGATTTAGTTTTATGTTCTAAAACACCTAAATAGGCTACAACAGAAATGACAATTCATTAATCAATTTGGTACATATTTAAGTCTGAACAAAACTACAACTTAAAGAGAAAATGTTTTTTGACGCAATGTTCTGTGTTTACATTAATGTGACACTTTTCACAATGAAACCACATTTGAAACATGAGCAGCAGGACATCTGTTACATTTAATATCAATGTTTTAATGTCCTACCTCRGATTTTTCTGGAACCATTATTTTAAATCTTCAAGAAAAACCTGTGCATCCAAACGGATATTGGAAGGATTCRGCTAAATCCGACAGGAGGTTTTAAACAAGAAAAGTTTTCAGCTGTTTCTGTAGCTGAACTTGAGTTCGCTGCAGTGAAAGCTCAATAACTGCAGCGTTTCCATCTTCCTCAGGAGAAAAGTAGTGCCGGGCCCGTCCTTACACTTTGCATCGTGTTCCTCCTGCTCCAAATTACAGTCATTTGAGCGTGACTAACATCCCTGCATCAGCTCTGGCCGCAATAATCAAACGTCTCTGTCGCTCTCTTTGAGGCTGGTTTATTCACTCACAGCCCACAGGCTGCTGAGAGCCCAACATCTCCTCAGGTTACTTACATCACAGCACGACCAGATCAACGCTAAGAACTCTGGGTTGTGGCAAAGACCACCCAGAGGACCACCGCTTGTCTACTGCGGTCTTTAAGGAACTGACTCATGCCACCAAAGCTGCAGTCGCACAAAACAACCTGTAATTTTCAGTCCTGCAAACAACTTTGATGGTGACGCATGGCTCTTTCAAACGTCTAAAAATATAAATCTGATCATTTGTTTTCCCATCGGCACAAAATTTACAATTGCTTTACCTTTCAGTGGAAAAATAAGAAGTTTATACATAAACTACAGACACAAAAGTCTGATTTTTACCAACGTATACACGTTTTAGGTGGTTTTACTAAAAAAAAGTCTGTATTCTCTCACTGTCTTTAGCTCGTATCAGATATTTGAGTTTAAACATCAGGTCCAGTCCTGCTGGAGCAGACGTGTGTCCCAACATGCTGTTTACTTASCCTTCACAAAAGACGTCAAATCTCACATCGGACAGAAGGTACCGCTCCAACCTCAGAAACCTCAACCTGCTGTGTCAATACCTGCAGCGCAGACACCGACGGCGATGTGCACACATCTGCACAAAGTCAACAGAAACCMAAAAATAAACAAAGTTTATGCCCTCATGAGACTCAGACACCGTTTACTGGCCCTACACGTCAGACGGCTGATACGCTCTGCTGCTTCAAGACATGAATTCCAGGACAAATCCACATCTCAGTTCTCCCGCGGACACGTCAGCGATGTTACAGCCATGCAAAGCTGGGACACCTGCCTGGCCAGAGGCAAAGAGCTGCTGTAATGTGCTAATTCAGGACTACGAGCCGTGAAGCTTCATCAAAAACGCTGTGCGGAGAATGAAAAAATTAAACTTTACGATGTTCTTAGCGCACCCTGAACCGATAAGTGTGCAAAATGCCTTCAAAAGGCAGGATTTACGATACGAGCTGCTTTCGAGAAGTCGAAAAACAAGGTTAAACACTTCATGGGTTGCTATAGTGCGCCACATGTAAAATAAAATGTTAAAAATGCCTCTAACACATTTTCATTAACTCACTTTCTGAGTGTAAAATGTTAGTGAAAACAGTTCCACTAACATTTTGTTTTTTAGCTCGCTGTTCTTACATTTTGCTCATTTTTACTATATGTTTATTTTAAAACGTTAATATAATTAATATTAAATCTAAATGTAAATGTTAAACCTTAAAAAACAAGTGTGTATGAAACCTAAAGCTCTTGGTTAAACACTTCATGGGTTGCTATAGTGCGCCACATGTAAAATAAAATGTTAAAAAATGCCACTAACACATTTTTATTAACTCACTTTGAGTGTAAAATGTTAGTGAAAAAAATTCCACTGACGTTTTGTTTTTTAGCTCGCTGTTCTTACATTTTGCTCATTTTTACTATATGTTTATTTTAAACGTTAATATAATTAATATTAAATCTAAGTGTAAATGCTAAACCTAAACAACGTGTGTGTATTGAACCTAAAGCTCTGTATTGAACGGTTYGATATGGGTACATGTATTGTTGCACCCCTAGCTGCTAGCTTGCTAACTCTGCTAACGCTTCCCTACAGGACATCCAGCTTGCAGTTGCGRCCGGTGTCAGACCAGCACTTCAAACCGCCGGACCACAGATACCATCCATAGTTTTTTTCAATAAACACATTTTGAAATTAAATTTAAAATTACATCCTCAGCAACGTTAGCAGCGTTAGCGGTTTCTGTTGTCTCAGGATGATGATGTCATAACAAGAGCTGAGCAAGGCAAAGGCTGTGTTCCATTTCGAAATACTTCAATGTAAACTTTTAGCACTTACTGAGCTAAATAACAATAAAATGTTAGTGGAAAAYTTGGGGGATTTCACACCCCGCGACCCGACCCGGAAAAGCGAAAGAAAACGGACGGACGGACTTCACACTCAAAAACTGTGTTAGTCCCTTTTTATTTTACACTTATACGTTGCTTGATCCAAACAGGAGTTGAACAACTTCTGACCAACAGCAGCTCTCAAAACTCCCACAGAGAGCAGTAACCTTATCGACTCGGGCAAACAGGAGAGTCTCTCAGGTAAGAGAGCGGCCTGGGGGACAAAGGAGGGGAGGTGGTGGGGGGGGATACAGGAAGTAGAAATGTAACCACACTGAGTCACACAGGGAAGCTGCCAGAGCAGACCTCATGGGGATCAGGSAGGAGGGAGTGGCGTTACAGACAGTCACCTTTGTTTGAATTAGGACCGGCTCAGTTTATCCATGGGGCCGTTCACATCTACGCCTTAAAGCTGTTGGTTTCACACGACGACACTGCTAAAGCTGCACGAGAAGAGAAAACTTATCAATCAGAAGGTGGGAAAGATGTTTCAGCAAAAACCTACGCTAAAAAGGTTTTAKACGAACAGCTTGTGTGGAAATCCTTGTTTTTTTATGCTCTTGTTGCTAAATGAAGTGTTGAGCAAAGCTGGTGTTACTGTGCAGCACCTGCAGGCAAACATCAGTCAGGGCGTTGGCCGTCTTCTCTGGGCTTTACCAAACAAAGGAGAGCATTGCTGCTTGAGAACAAACTTAAGTAACCTTGTCTGAACTGCCTCCCTGCAAACTCGTCTGTGAGCGCTCAACCTACCAGATGACAGATGGCAAGAAGAATACTGGAAATCCTCTTTAATGGAAACTGGTTATTGACTAAATCCAGTTTTTTTTTTCCTGCCTCCCCTGAGTAGTCGAGACTTAAATATCYGAGAACTCAGGGTGGCCAAAAGTTTTGAGGGAGTTTGTTTTTCCTGCCAACRCATCGGCATAAACATGCAGCAGCAMAGAACTTGGACTGAAAGATAATCTCCTTTTTACTGACGTTATGTGGTCTCTTTGTCTGCTGCAGAACGGGATACGGTTTCAGAAAACGAGCACGGAGGTATCGAGAGAAACAGAAACAAACTAGATTTCTGCACGGCTGTGTTACAGCCTCTGTGTGTGTCAGACACGCTGCAGAGCGGCGCAGCTCTCAGAGCCGTGCAGCGGCTTGTCTGCTGAGAGCGGCAGCTGCATTCCTGAGAGATTGATAATTACCGTCTGAAGAACTCTTCTTTCAAAATCTGCTTTCACCCTCCCTGAACGCTCCAAGCCCTCCAACCCCACATCCCTCCTTCAGTCCCCTACAAGAACAACAAAAAATATATAACTCAGCCGGGGAAGAAAATGGATAATAGCTGGCACATGGGAGTCATTTTCAGATAACATTATAATACGAGGCTGTGTGTTTCCACTGGCTGATGTTATCTGTGCACAAGTAAAACAAGACCATAGCAGGACATGTGGGGCAACTCTTGTTTATAATAAATACACTCAATGGATTTACTGATTGTTTATTTAGGTAAAAACGCTTCATTGAACTGTGCAGGGTTTTGAAAGTGACAACAGAGGTGACATGTTTGTGTTTCCTCTGGGGTTGCCAGGAGTCTGAGTTAGGACTGCGACCTTTAGGACCCCTGAACAAGCGTTTAAAACTGGCAGTGACGGGTTTACAGAGGGGCTGCACACAGCTGGACTGTGAAGAGCAGAAAAATACAACCTGTTCTCAACAGCAGCCTGGAGGGGCTAACAGGGATTGATGCCTAAGAAAACAGATTTCGCTCGTCAAGACGGGAAATCTCACAAAACCTCTTATTTAAACGTGAATTCAGAGTAAACAAACATGGCCGACGAGGAAGAAGCGATGGCGATAGTTTGCGGAAAAACAAAACAAAAAGGCCATAGCAGTTGTTTTATTGTCTGTATCTGGGATTCACCTCGCTYTCTGATTGGATACACGTCACCTTCAACAGCTCGTTTGTCCTCRGGAGGACACCGCACGCAGTGGGATTTCAAAAAATTCCAACATATTGAATATCCTCGATTTGAGATTGGAGTGGTCCAGATGTCCGTCCGAGTCGATTTGATCCCTCTTACCACACGGCAGGAATATYTACGATTATCATTGGAGCTATCAACATTACCGGAGCCTCCTGAAGATTGATGGAAGGGCAAGATCCGGTCAAAAATCGGCACAATTATCTTGCTCTGAATCAGACATCAGCAGAAAACCCACTCTGAACAGGACTGGACGCATCGATCTAAATATTGAAAGTATTGATACAGAGATGGGCATCAGTATCAGATCAATAATATCATGAGGACATCAGTAATTTCATTTCCAWTTTATTTCAACGCCGTTTGGAGATAGCCGAAACCCGTCCTCTTCGTTGTGTCCGGTGCAATGGAAGGTTTTTTTGTTATGTTGTTGACATTGTTATATTTATATTTTTGTCACATTATAAAGTGACGTTTTCATAAGCAACCTGTGCAGTAAAAAGCAATAAGGAGATTCTATTTTATACTATTAAATTGTTTTATACTGCTTTAATTAGTTAATAAAATACATTTTTTTATTTGCAGAAAATATTTGTCATTTATTTTATCAGAAATCAACTAACTAAAGGCAAAAYAAAAAGCATAGACCTCGGTATCAGTGATGCTAACTTGATGCTTTAGTTAAGTACTGATAAGTTGTTTTACTCAACATCTGCTCACATRGTGTCAGCACGTTTTATTAAAGAGGGGTATTATGTATYTTCCAGGCACATAGTTCAATYCTATACCGAATTAAGCAATTATGTTATTTGACTTTACATCTAAACCCCTTGAAATTGGCCTCTGTCTCTTTAAAAACCTCCTATTTCCAGCACGTGGTCGTAACAAAGCTTCATGCTGTTTGCAACCTTTCGTAGGAGCTTTTTAAGAGTCTCCTTGGTCTCCAAAAGTACATTTCCTCAATGAAGTGTTTTTTTTTTTTTTATCTGAAACGAACTGGATTGAGAAGTAATTATTGTTAATCGCCACCATTGTCTGACGGAGCTGTGTGGGACGGGAGTTCGGCTGCAGATTATGCTCCAGGGAGGAGCTTTGTATAAATAGGCGGAGCTTTGCACCAGCAAGCGTTTAGGCAGCTCCACGTGGCCAGAGGAGATTCAAGGATCTCTGAAACATGCATGAACGAGTCAAAGCAACACCCTGAGTGTGTTTCTGAAGAGGAAATAACATTATAAGACGATGTAAAGCTCAAAAAGTCAAATTTGTGTCATTTAAAGCAAAAAGACCAACTTCTGCACGAACGTCTAAAGGAAGTCGAYGGCTRCAGATTACTTGTTTTTATATTCATCAATACATTGTTGATAAGGCACTGTATTGAAATGAGATGCTTGTGACAATGGGGGTGGGAATCTGGAGACTGATCTGAGAAGAACAAAGCTTCTTGAACAATAAGTTGTCCTTTAATCTAATCTCATCCCATCCCTTAGTGGTGAGGACCCGCAGATGATTCACTCATCCGTCTGATTAACGGCACACTGTTTCCCACTCATGAAGCCGGGGCCTGGGTGACACACAGACACCACTCACTCAGTCATGTGTCTCATATTGACTCTTCCTCCTCTTGTAAGTCTGGACCAGCTGCTTTGACCTTTGCTCCACTCACAGAGCTCACAACTGAATCTGACTCCAAAAGAAAAAGATGCATCTTCTCAAGTGTTTTCCTCAAACGGAACGGATTATTTCTTGTGTGCCACTGTTTTATCGTTGAATCAAAGCCGACCTGGATCTGTTGCAGGGTCTTTGCTCAGCTGCTTCCACAGCACACCTGTAATTTCCACAGGTACAAGCCTTGGCATGGCAGCCTGGTAAGGAAGCTGCACCAKTATGTGACACACCCTTTCTAAACAAATGTCTCATTCTTGGCCTCACCTACCACAGTGTGCATGAAATAAAGATTAAAAAACAACAACAACTAAAAAGTGCAGTTTGGGAGGGAAAAAAAGGTTTCGATCTGGAGCTCAAAGTCCAACAGATGSAACAGTTCAATAAAAAAAGGGTCCCTGAAGGGATCCTTTTTTTAAACTCTTGAACACCCAGAGACTGGCACAGCTGAAAGTGTCAGAAGTCATTTCCATGGATAGAGAAAGCAAACAATAGCTTTTATTGTCCTAAGCTGGGAAAAAGAAACAGAAGTTTTAAATTACCTCCTCCAGGTTCCCTCAAGCTGAGCACATCTAAATGTATTTAATACYTTTATTTATTATTTACATGAGAATTCCTCTTTTACTTCAACTTTTATAATTTTATATAAGATCAATAATCAGAATAATGAGGAAAAATCCACAGAAATGTATTTAAAGCAGATATTTTCCCAAGAATACTTAACTCCCATGTACAGTTTAGACAAAAACTACAGCTAATTAACATTTCTGTTGTTAAAACTCCGACAAAACAAAAGAAAAACATACCTTGAGAAGCTTTAAAGATCCGGTTCGGACAGATTTCACTCACTCTCCATTTGAAGAGTCTCCCTGGGGCCTCATTCCAATTCCAAACTTTTTTTTTCTCCTCTCAGTTTTCGCAGGAAAATTTCATGTGAAGAATTTCCTTAAAAAAAAAAAAAACCGTCGATGCGTTTCATGAAACAACGCAATTTATTTATCAAAAATAACCCCAAAACAACACAAGTTTCTGCCGGTTCGACGTCAGTTCGCCAAGAAACAGAACTTTTCCTCTCCTGTCATGWGCTGTCAGTCTGCCGACAAGTTACTGAAGCGAAGAGCAGCGGAGAAACCATGAGAAAAACTCCCGTCGACCTGCAGCAGCAGCTCCCACCTGAAGGAGGAGGAGGCTCCGCTCAGGTAAGACCGGACTCGGTCCTGTGGGGGCATCTAGCGGCGAGGCGAGGAACTGCAGCGGAGGAGGACGTTCTGTCCTGTGGGGGCGTCTAGCGGCGAGGCGAGGAACTGCAGCCGAGGAGGACTCAAAATGTTCTCGTATTTTCTGTATACAGCAGTATAGTTGTATGGAGGTAAATTTGTGTTTTTATGATTCAATCAAACAAAAAGCATCTTCAATCAAAAATAATAATTTCAATCAAAAATAATTTTTTCAACCAAAAATAATAATTTCAAT